AGCAAATCAAAGAATTTGAAGAAAGCACAAGAAATGTTAGAATATTTCAAGACCTCAAACAAAGTCATTATAGTCAATGACAATGTAAACAATATGAGTCAAATTTAGAATGTCGTGCCTATAGATGATTTATTTGCTAGAAGAAATAATACATTAAATATATAAAATCGAAATTAGAAAGCTATGAAATATTGTGCTATCTAAATATATTTAATAAATATTAAAAATTTTGATGAAGCAATAATTTTGAAGTATTTTATTATTCTTTCTTATCAAGACAAGTTGTCTCATAAACTTATTGAAGTTGGCAAAAAGATTTTAAAGCTTGTAGTAGTCTAATATTAACTTTAAAAGTTATGGATGCATATTCAAGAAAGAAAAACATGTTGAGATATCTAAAGCAAGATTTACATTAAATAAAGATAGAAAGAGAGTTAGATAGAGATAAAAAGAATAATAACCATAATATATGGAATGTATTAAAAATGATTTTTAATAGCTTAAAAGTTAAAGAAGATAATGTGTTTTTAAACATATGTCTTTTATAATGATATGTATATGTAAGGCTTGTTGAAAGAAAAAACATTGCAAATATAGACCATCACACAAGATAAAGTTATAAAGTAATATCATTTTTTTTATGCATTAATCTATATTTGCAATGTTTTTTTCTTTCAACAAGCCTTACATATACATATCATTATAAAAGACATACATAAGCCTGTGTATGTTACTTTGTAACTTTATTTTGATATAGTGAAAGATATATATTTAAAAAAAATAATAATAATTAAATTAAATTTTTATTTTTTAATTATTATTTTAGTATTTTTTGACATAACTTCTTGATTTGTTTTATAAACCAATTCTTTGAAAAGGATCCAAAAAAAATTCTAAAAGACAATATTACTTATGTTATATAAGAAAGAAATATATTCTCTCTCAATTTTTTGTCTTTGGATCAATCAACTTGTATTTCTATATATAAAATCAACTTAAAGAAGTTTTTTTAACTTCAACCAATTTTAACATTTAAAATTTGTGTACTTTGACTTTATTTCTCAAATATTATACTTTTTTTAAGTTCTACACTAGGATTTCAAAAATCTTCTTTTACTATTAATTTAAAAATATTCTAAAATATAGAAAAAAAAAATCTACTTTGTTTATTCAAAATAATTTTAAAAGTCACTTTTTATCCATATTTAGAACTTTCACAAAAAATAATTCAAATAATAGGCAAGCTAACAAATTGTACTTATAATAAATTATATAAGCTAGAAGAAAAAACTATAAAAGATTATTCATCTTATTTTAAATATTTAATAAATTTTAAAATAATTTTTATATAAATCTAATTTAATATTTTATTTATCTTATTTATAGATGATAGTAATAATTTTTTTTTTTAATCTTTTTAATTAGTTTCATCATTTTCATGATAATTTGAAATTGATTGTAGTAAAAGTAATATATTATTAATGAATAAAATGTCTATATTTATTTATTTATTGATGAAAATTTTTAATTAATATTAAATATCATATAATTAATTTTGATTATTTTCTATTTTTATTAAAAATTTATATTATTATATCTCATTAAAATTATTAACAAAATTATATAGTCTAGATTCTATTAACCATTGAGATCCAAATTAGACCAGGTTGTAAGACATTTACTAGTACATACAATAAAATGCATATTCTATTACACACATATGTTTTTATATATTTTTATTCTTAATCTATCAATACTAGCTTTAAAGATAAGATTTTTATTTTTTATTTTATTTAATACCAAAATAGTTTGGGTCTTCATAAAATAGAATTGCAAAGATATTTAGTCTTCATAATAAGAAAATAAAAATAAATTTATTAGATATTATTTACAAAACTATATTTATATTAATTTTGAAGTTTTCTATATTTATAAATATATATATATATATACTAAGGTAATAAGAAAAATCTAATTTTAGATACTTTAAAGGTGATTTAACAAAAGAGGTGTCTAAATAATACCTTGGCACTTTTATTTCATTCTTGTGCCATCTATGTGCATAGATGAGAAGAAGAATTTGAGTATTTTTTGAAGAACTCAATATTGAACAAACAAATATTAGATTGCTTCCAAAATATTGTATTGCTTCTAGGAAAACAAAAAAAAAAAAAAAAAAAAAAAAAAAAAAAAAAAAAAAAACTTCGTATTATAGCTAAAATTTCATAGTAGACTTTTTGTACAATATTCTAAAAAAATATATTTAGTACTTGCTATTAAAAGAAAAATGGCTTCTATGCTATGTAGTAAAATGATGATATTTTTTATTTTTTTATTTATATCTACATCTTCTTCTACTATAAGGTGTTTTGCAAACTTCCTTTTTTGTACTTATTGTTTGATATTCTGTTTTTTTATCTCTTAATTACATTATTTTATGTTACATTGTTGTGATTAAGAAAAAAAATTGTTATCTTCAACTTTTTTATCTCTTTATTACATTATATTATATTATTATGATAAAAAATATATATAAACAATAAAGTAAAATTTGCATTATTAGTTTTATTCAAGCTTTGAGATTGCACTAGTGTCTTTCAAAATAAGATTAATCTAGGTTAAATTTTAGAAGTACAAGATTGATTTTAGATGCACAATTAGTCTTATTTGAATTATAGGAGTGATTTGAAATATACAATTACACTCATTTCAGTTCTAAGAGTGATTTTGAATGCTAAATAATACTTATTTAAGTTGTAAAATTGATTTTAAAATCAAAATTCTATTTATTTAAGCGACAAAACTATAGAATTAGTTTCAAATGTACAATTCTTTTTATTTCAATTACTACAGTGATTTCAAATGCACAATTATACTTGTTCAAGATGTCAAAGTATAAGATTGGTTTCAAATGCATAACTACTCTTTTTTGAAGTACAAAAGTAATTTCAAGTATATAATTAGAATTATTCAAGATACAAGAATGTTGGATTGGTTCCTAAAGCAAAATTATTCTTGTTGAAAGTGCAAAAGTAGTTTCAAAAGCACAATTAGTATTGTTCAAGCTGCAAGAATGCTAAAATAGTTTTAAATATTCAATTAGTCTTATTAAAGTTGTAAATATACAATTATTCTTATTTAAATAATAAGATTAGTTTAAAATACATGATTAATCTTTTTTAAATTGCAAATATACAACCAATCTTATTGAAGCCATGAGAGTAGTTTTAGATGTGCAATTTTTCTAATTTTAGTTATGGAAGTGGTTTTAGATATATAAATAGTCTTCTACTAATTACCAAATTGGTTTTTGATTGCATAATAAGTCTTGTTCAATTTAGAAAAATGGTTTCAAATGCACAATTATACTTGTTCAAGCTATAGATGTGTAAAACTAATAATAAATATACAATTGATCTTATTTGAGTTGCAATATTAGATTTAGATATACCTTTAAAATACATGATATTTATTTATGATGGAAATTTTGGAACTTTTAGTTCTTTGCACACACACTTGATTTACAATGAGTGTAGTATTGATGATATACATCATTGTCTTAAACTAAAGTCACATGGAAATTGAAGTTGGCTTAAAAAGGTAGTATGAAATTGATGTGAAAAATCAAATATGTTGTTTATGTTGGTAAGACATATATATACAACTTGCAACCTCACTACTTGCAAAGTAGTGAGCCTATTACAAAATGGAGTAATTTATAGATGAGATAGCAATACATGCATCTATTATATGTCAAAAATAATAACTATAAGCAATAAAGTTATTTTCTAAAAGTAGATGCAAAAAAAAATAAAAACAAAAATAAATGATATGGTAATTTCTAAATAGATTTTGCAATCTCAAATAGTCAAGTATTGCAAATTGATTATTGATTATGTACAAAAGTATAGTCACTATTTATAATGGTAGGTGTAAATATTATAAATGTTGTTCAAAGAGATAGAACAAATAGAAGTAATTAAGAGTAGATATAAATATGTTAGAAAGATAATATCTTTCTTATAAAACTTCAATAAAGTCTTTTAGATGTAGCATTGTGATTTGTGAAATTTAGCTTTGAAATCCACTTGGTATTTACTTATAAAAGGGTTTCAAATTACTTTGAAGTTTTTTTTGTAATCAAAAAAAATGTATGAGATGGTTAGAAACACCCATCTTAGCAATAGTGATCATTTTAATATCTTTAAGTCAATCAAATAAAATTCTGTTTTTTTTTAAAAAAATTGGTACTAAATTTAATATTTTGTAACTTTTGTGAATTAAATATAAATACTTTCTATTTTAAAGTTTAAAGTTTAAAGTCTTTTTTTAACTATTCAACTTATCTAAAGTATCATTCAAATAACAATCAATAGCAAAACTATTGTATTTTTATATACAATTTCTTAATAGAGACTAAAAGATATTCAACATTATAATTTTTTAATCCTATCATGTATTTTTGTTAAGGTTTCAAGATAATTAATCAACATTTAAATTCATTACATTAGCATTTTGGCAAAGAAATCAGTGTTAATATTTATTTATTTATTTCAATAAATTAAAGACATAAGAAAAAGAAAGAAAAGGAAAAATAAATAAATGAATAAATTAAACAACACTACCAATGTAAGTTAAGAAAGTAGCAATGTTTCTAGCATCAACACCATTGGCTTCCCAGTTTTAAAAAGACTTAAAAGCTATTTCCATGACAAGTATATTTGTCACACAGAAAGCCCAACTATCTGTGCACATTGAAATCCTGGTATTCACTACATTATTACACATTTTAGCTTTGACTGTGAAATATCATATTTTACTGTCAATGCAAAATTAAATGTCAATTTTCCAACCCAAGGAACTGTTACCCATTTTCCAGTGAGCTGACATTGGCGTTGTGATGATCAGATGATGACACTTCCACAATTATCTTGCAACTGAAAATGGCTACTTCAACCATGTCCATAGACTCGGCATGCACACATCCTTACTCTTTTCAATCACGAAGAACAACTTCCTCATCCACTTACTGTTATACTTCTTAACCAGAAACAAGCTACTAAACTGTCTACTGACTAAAATCCTTCTGGAAAGTCAACATCAGATTTGATTTTCTTATGGCTCCCTCGTGGAGCCTAATCGGCAGAACGTTTCAAATTAATCTGCAACCCCCAAAGCATATTACAGGCACAAAAAATATTTGTCCAGTGTTGAAGATGCAGACTACAATATAACCAACCTCTAATACGATTAACTAAACGCAATTGCAGGCTGAGAGGAGGCACACAGTAATTTGAAACTATCTACTGACACATCCAAAACTGCTGTCCGCACGACATTGTCGAATTTTCTTCAATAATCTCAAGACCTTATTCATCCCTTTGATTTCTTGGCCGCTTCACAGCGAGGATACTGACAGGCTCTTCGTCACTGTCTTCTTCACTCTCGTATGCCAAACCCAGAAGACCACCTGGAGTCTTCGTAGTATCTGCAGTCAGGATTTCTTCAGGAGGCGAATTGGAATTTCCCGTACTCTGTACATTAGAGTCTTGCGAAGAGGTGTTGGACTTCACCGAACCCACGGTGACGGAAGGATCGCTGGAACGAGGACGCTCGGCCTTCACTTTGACTATGCTTTTCACTAACACCTGTTGCCTGTGAGTGATCAACCCAGCACCACACAAGCTTTCTTTAATTACCAGAACTGATATTCCAAAGACTTTAGAAGACCTATAGCTTTCCCTGGGTTAAAACCCAGATCGACTTCCGTACAGCCAAGTATCATACAAACTTGCTTTTAGGTATCAAAAGAGGTGCTCGGGCCACATATATCTTTATAAACGTCTACGTCTCGACGAAGCGACCAGTTCCTGTAAATACTTACCGAATACCACTGCGAGGTTTAGGCTCGACCCGTATAGCAGGAAGTGTCGGCACAGCAGCATTGTCCACCAAGCTCGCTGCTTTGTGCTCAGTTGTCAAGGATAACTCTTAAATCAAATATGAACGTCCACAGCAAACATCCCCCACAATCTCTATGCCAGATGTTAGGTAACACAAGTGACGGCTCACTTATTCTTTACCGCCAAATGCACATATTTAGTATCAACAAAAACCCAGTTGAACAAACTTAAACACTACATGTGCAGTAACAAGACAAAACTGCATCACAACAAGTATCAGAGGTATAAAATTACGGACAGTTTAATGATTCAATAGTCAGCAGAAAATATTCATAGCGGACTCTTCCGACTTCCCACTTACTCAGCGCCAATCCATTAAGTGGGCTCTCTTACACCAAACTTGTTATAGTTCTTAGATACACCCGATGAAATCCAGCATATAAGAGATCCAGAGGATATTTTAAAAGCTGCAAACGCTCTCTTTTCCGTTCGCCGGCGCAAACGCTCGGCATCCTCCTCAGCTTCCATTTGTTCCTTCAAGTAAAGCAAATCATCGCTATCCAATGCTGCACATTTTATCAATGCCAATATGATATCAACAGTGATAATCAACACATGACAAGCATCATAATAGAGTCCACATGACAAGCATCAACGTCAACTCTATAGAAATTCATCTCTATAAATATAACCATTGCTCGATTCCGTAAATATAAACTTTGTTTGAGCTGTACCTCCACGACCATGAAGATATCCACCACGTTCACCAGCTACCTCCTGCATCTGTGCCATCGCAATGTTCCAATAAACAAGGATCATCACTAAGAAGGTAAATTAATACCCTCAGTATACTCACCAGACCACAGCATAGATACCTTCAGATCACTAATCATTTCAAAACCGGTGACCACAAAAATACAACTTTAGAAACTATACATAGCAAAACTTCACTGAGCTCCCTTTAGTCACTAGACACAAACATCACCAAGCATAGAATATTCTGAAACAGAAGCACAAACACAGCTTCATCGAAGTGAGCTGAAATTAAGAGGCACGCATTGTGATAATATTAAGCCTGGTTGGATACAACGCGATGAAATTCATTCACTACTGTTCACTCCAACTATCCCGACGCATACTCTTTGACGTGTCATTCTCAAACATGAAGTCATCCAAAATGCTCTGTGTATTTCCATGTTACATGAACGAAGAGCGTTTAAGCAGTGTGTTCTGACCTTGGCTACCATCCGTTTAAATGCCAGATCCTCGTCATCCGCCTTGTCTTTACCACCTTTACCCCATTTCTTATCTGCAGAGTGCTATTAAATAAGTTACATAGAATGACTAAACATATCCCTCACAATGTCAGTAAACACATGTTTTAAACTGAAATGCTCCGCTCTATTTCACTTGCAAAGCCTTCGAGATCGTGCAACTTCAAAACAACTCACAATGTCATATAGCAGTATCACTTAATCACCTATTTGGACAAAGTCAACTCTGACCGGTTACACTAAATTGGCCAATGAAAGTTCCGGCGCTATACAATTCCTATGCCGCATTGACTGACTCAGCAGTTTTCAAAGCCACGCGTTCAAAAACATAATGAAGACAATAATGTGTGGCACCTTTAGGATCACTCAAATTCGTAAAATCTTTCACTTCTCTCCCCGCCATCTTGTAACGTTGTCTGGTACAATAGAACTTATTTCAAGTATAGAGCAACCATGACCTTTCCAGGGTGCTCATCACTCCACGCAGCTAGTATCTCCAGGCAATGACCCCGATTCCACATCCTATTATCATTTCAAACCCTAAATTAGTGCCACCCAAAACCCAAATTCCGTTTCCGATTTCTCTTTCCAGCAACTTTACTGCAGCTCACGCAATTGCACAAAACTCTATCCCGGGTTCAAGTTGCACAACTCATCTTCAACCGACGTCCTCATTAGACTCGCACCCCCTTCCTAATAGACTCCAATTCACTCCGAATCACGAGAACCGTAGAGGTGCTCCAACTCCATCCTGTCCCATACTGCGAAAAACCCCAGATGGAACACCCTCGACCAAATGCGAGATGCCTTCTGCGAGCCACACCGCGTAATGTGATGAATCCTGAACAAATCCAACTATTACACAAATCCCTTAACCTAAAATTTCAGAAAACCTTCGCCAGGCACTCTCACCACTGCGACATCGCCAAGGCCTTAAACACCACAACTTCCTCTGTACTCAACGGTTTTCCAAGCAACAAGTGCTGGAAGAAGCCAAATCTTCCCTCACACATTCACGGGTCTCGACGCATCGATTTCAGTTCCGCAAAACTGCGTCGCAATCCAACGTTTGCCAGCGCATTCGTTTGATTAGAAACCAAATGGGCGCAGTCACCGAAGCCTCCCCCGCTCCTCCGAATGGAATCCGTCGAAGGGCCATGTCCCCCTCCCGCGTTCCTGCGTTCCCGCGTTCTCTCGTTCCCTTCATCGCTCCCGCCGATGAATGTAGATCGCACATCCGTGGAAAGCGAGACTTTCGTTCATCCGATGTGGACTTGAGGGGGATAGTTCTCAACGACACACCTAGTCACTGTGTAAATAGGGTTTCTTCACTTTGAATATTTTCTCCATTTTTTTTTTTTTTTTAGTGTTTTTGATAAAAGTTCGATGAAGAAGGAATTTTTTATTTTTCCATTTTTTTCATTTTTTTAATAATTCTCTTGTTAAAATGTTTGTATAGTATGTTTTGTCTAATTTAAACTGTGTCTTCTTGTGAAAGGCATAAGAGAATAAATAATTTGCATCATAATTGGAGAACATGGTAGTAGTAAAACTTGGTTTGGTGCTTTGCTATTGAAGTTAATAAATATTTATTTGTATATTTATGATTTATAACTAATAATAATAATAATAATAATAAAATAGACAATATTAATCACAGCTTGCCAACTACATGTGCTGTTTATTCAATTCAATATCTCAATACTAAGAAAACTATTGTAATGTCATATGTTTAAAATGGCAATAATAATATTTTCATGAAAAATAATATGACATTGTTAAGCTGTAAATTCACAACACCATCAAAGTCTAAAATGATTCATCTGAGGAACTTGTCAAGAAATAGTTAAATTATAACAAAGCCAAGTTATTATTGAAAAATTTACTCGAGTATTCTATGACATGTGAAAATATATATTTATCTATGAAGCAACTTCATTAAAACTTTATGGATCTTGTTGTCTATTTTTATGCACACAATGGTAAATCCTAAACACATGCAAAAATTCATATTTTCCAAAAAGTATATCGAATATTTAAAATTACATGCACTTGGATAATTTCAATCATTTATAAATGGTTAGAAGAATTTTTTGTTTTTGTTTTTTAAAAGTTACAATTTGGGTATTTGGATTTGAATACTTTGAGAAAATGAATGTCATACTAGAAACAAAATAATTGACATTTAAATGTTGTCATCCATTAGAGGGATTTAGACTTGGCTTTTTTGGGTGATATTTTACCCGAGATGAGATCTTGAAGTATCCAATGATATTTAATATTTGGAATGTTTTTTGATACTTCACCAAATCACTCACCTTGCAAGGTATGTGATTTTGAAATCCAAATATGAAAAGAAGAGCAAGTGAAATATCAAAAGTTGTGTCTCTTGCCTTAATTCTCTTCTCTCTTTGACTCCATACCACAATGCTCTTTAACTTTTCCAAATCACCAAAATATGAAGTGATACTTCAAAAACTTAAAGATTGTAATTAAGTTTTAACATTGATATTTTGGATTTGATATTTTGAGTGATCCTTGAAATATGACTTTTAAGGAGATTCATACTTAATGTTTTTGGGTAACAAAATATCATGTGATACTTTGAGATATCACCACACGCAAAAATGTCACCCAAAAACCTTGAGTCTGAATTTCCTTGTTGAACCCAAGTTATTTGGTTTTGCAAAAATATCATGTTTGAATCCACTTATTTGGTATACTTATGATGTATGCTTATATTACTAATAACTGGTTCAACAAAAAATAATACAAATGATGTATCTTTATGTTTCTTCATATTAATATAATAAATTTAGATAATTGTTAAAATCACATTTGCAATTGATAAAGCTACATTTTACATGACCTTGTAGGTAACTAGCTAACAGTATGCCTTTTTTTTTTGTGCCTTTCTTTGCATTGAAAGAACGTAGTGGTTGAGAGGGAAATACTAAAGATTCTATGAAAAAACACATTGCTTCATATAATACCATAACTTTTTAATTGTGATTTGTTTTTTTTTAAACTATTTTTGATGAAGTATAATTATATCATGACAGAATAACAATTGCAATCATACAGATTATTGAATTAAATCATTAAATTTATCAGATACAATAAATGTGTTTGAAAAGATTGCCACTATTTTGAAACAAATAAATCTGAAAATATCAATGATCAATACCAATATTGCCAAATGACAGAAATAATAAAAATAACAACATCCTGCCACTCACATGAATCAAACTAAAAATGTACAAATACATAAAAAAAAAAAAAAAACCTTTGCAACAACTCATGTGTATCACAGTTATTTATTTATTTATTCATTTTAATTTCTTATTTCTTATCAAATTAATTTTACTTCCATGTAGAAGCATGTTATTTACATTTTAAAATTCATGCAAGGTTCAACCAAACTTCCAACATAAAGTCACAAACACGTATTTCAATAAAATCCCAAATACTTTAAAAAATAAATAAAAATAAAAATAAAACAAAACAACCACTTAACAAGCACAACAAACCCAATTAAATGAAAGACCATAACAATCCCACAGAAACAATCCCCCAAAAACCACGTTCCAAAATCAACATTCCCAAAGAAGAATAGAAAGAACAAATCTTAAATAACCTCGAATGGATGGATTCCTCCACGTGGGAATCATTCTCTCAATATTCAACGAATATACTCCCTCCAGATCCAACGTCCCCCCGCGTGCCGCGCTACCAACACCGCACACTCACGGTGACAGGTAGGAGACCATATACCCGTAGCGCGAGACAGCGGTGATAGGAGGGGAGGGGAGGAGGATATGGCGGCCCACCTTATCTGAGGGAGAGGTGTGGGTCACGAGGGAGGTCGCAGTGGGGAGGGAGGAGGGGCGGGGCGGATCACGAGACACGCAGCCCAGACACAGCAGCACCAGGACCCACCCACCCCATCGCCCCTCCCTGTCCCCTCGCCGCGCGGCTGCGTCATCGTCAACGGCAGCAAGCTAAGATGGGAAGAGAGGGGGGGGAGGGGTTCTCCTCCTGCGATGGCGGATCCAGAGAGAGCTGCTGAACGGGGGGGACAACAACAACAAGCCCTTTCGCGGAGCGGGAGTGGGGCTCCTCTCTTCTCTCGCTAAGGCTATATGGGTAGGGTGGCTTACGGAATGAGACCTTGCCGTGACGCATTTGGCGCATTTGACGTCGAGGCCAGCTAGCTTGCCAGCATAGGGGTGCTATTGTGCTAGTGCCCCGCGTCGTCGTCCTCCTCCGTCCTCACGAGGAGTCGGTCGCTCTCGGGAAGAAATTTCAGCACCTCACTTGATCCATCGCAAACAGGGGGAAGAGAAGGAGAGGGGAGAGGGAAAGGGAAGAAAAGAGTGTGGCATCAGCTTGGAGGGAGGGGATGGACGGAGAGACCGTCCTTTGAGCGGGTTTAGATTAGATTAGTGCTCTGCTGGCTCTCTCTCTCTCTCTGCACGAGCGTGGCCATGGCGTTCCTTACGTCACGGGTAGTGCTGCTTCTACTGCTGCCTCCCACGTTAGATCACTGTTAGTTCGTCGCCGCTGTTGTTGTTATTGTTTTCGCGGTTTTCGTTTCGAAGGTGAGGCTGGTTTCATTTCTGTTTTTTTAATTTTTAATTAATTTTTAATTAATTTTGTTTTGTTTTGGTCAGACATTTATTTTATTTTTTATTTTACATTGTTCTATTTGTTGGATCAGTGCTTTGGTTCGATTGGTTAAGAAATGGGGGTGTTTGACAGGTGGTATTGAGCAGTGCAGAGGTACATTTCGAGGTTTGTTGCGTGATTCGCGAAATTGTCTCGGTGTTGTGTGTTGTAGTTTTGACGATCGGGGTTTTGAGAGTGAGGTTCCAGTAAGTGAGATTCTAGGGTTTGTGGACAGATCTTCCGGTGTAGAGTGTAGTGCGACAGGGGGATTATGGTGCGTACGGAGCTGTTTTCGTCGTTAGAACGATTTCGTCATCGCATGTGTCTTTTTTTCTTGTGTGAAAAAAATGCCGCGAGGTCAGAGCTTGAAGCTCGGGTGCGGCTTATTCGCCGCAAAATCGTGGGTTGAGAAACTGATCCAGATCTATTGCGCTACGTGTTTGATCAATGCAGCAACGTTAGGCAACAGTGTATGATTCGCTGGGGGTGTAATGAAAGGTTCTCTGCATAGGTTCTGTAATGCTATACTGAATTATGCGTCGATGAGCTGGGCCGGCAGCTCTCAGTTTCATGGTTAGTGCAGTAATAGATAAACGTTGATGCTTTTCTTAGCGGGGCATTTTATTATCTTCAGAAGATCTAGTGATCTACTCTGGCCGAATCACTTTTTCTGGACTTGGCTCTCGAATCACGGATTCATGTGTTACCGCGTGATCGAATGCAGTGTGTATCATTTTCTACAAAAAACGACCATGATGGAAATATTGCAAGACGCCAGATTTCAATGAGAGCTGCGTGCCTTTGCTGATACTAGATTTTCAGGGGTCCGCGCTAGAATGGGCACTCAGGTTTCGAACGTGCGTTTTGTTATAACTCCTGTCATATGGATTTTATTTGTAACTTTCAACGGTTTTTTTGTTATCTTTGAGTTTTTTTTCACATTGGTAACTATTTGTAAATCCTGTAAGGTTTCTTTGTCTTTACTACATATTGAGAAACAGGTGATTAGATTTCTGGAAATCGGTTGGTGTTGTTCGTGTGTGGTGTGGTTCATTCGTCTGATTTCCGTCACCACCGTTATTGAAGGAGGATTCCCCTTTGATACGAAAATTTCTAATAATCATAAAATGTCCCATTTATCTATTTTTTGGAAAAAATAATAATCATGTTTTGTTTTTAAAATTTCAGAACTATTCTTACATGAAGCCGGTTTTCCTTAAATATTGGCTCAAATTGATTGATATCAGGTCTTCAAATGCAGGTTGAGTAGGTAGGGTAGTCATGGCAGAGCCTAAAGCAGTAGTCGATCAGTCGGCCCCGTTCTTATCCGTCAAAGCGGCGGTGAGTATGTTCGGTGAAAAAATTCCAGCGAAGTCTCAAACGCCGCCCCATTCTCATGGACCACATCTCACGCATACATCAAGTCTACAATATGTTGGCACGTATCATGGCCCTAATCACCAAGCAGAGGTATATCTGATGTCAAGCAAATGACTGGTTTGTTTTGGATGTAAACCAATTTAATCTTTAAATCTCCTTAAGAATTCCATCTTTTTCTTGCTGCTTACAGCATATCCTCGTGTGATGGCAGAAAATATATTCGCTTGAGACTGAATTGAATCGTGCCCACTCCGAGATCAACAACTACAAGCAACAATTAGCCGCCTATGAAGCTGCCAAAAACGATGGTTTCAAGCAGACTACGTCACTTCCCAGCTTGGCAGGGTCGGATTGGCAGCATCACCTTGATGCTGTTTTGGGCCCGCAACCCAATGCTGCTGTGCCAAGCCATCAGGTTTCTGTGGATACTACAGGTCGTGACATGGAAATCAACAGATTACAAAAGGAGCTTGAAAGCGCCAAGAGTCAGTATCTGAGTCTGTCCGCAGGTAGGATTCGTTTCATTCGTTGATGATGGAAGTCTATTTTCAGATCTTGTTCTATGTCGTGCCCAAAAAGGGCTTCTCTATGCAACAGTGAAGTTAAAGTCGGGTTGGACAACTATTCAGGGCCTCTTTTTTAGCTACTTTTTTAGCTACTTACAAGATGTGCAATTATAGAACTTACTTTTACTGTTGATCGCTTTGATGAACATGCACCAACTTGCACAGTTGCCATGGATCCGCTCCATATGACCTCTCAGACCTACTTATCTCGACGGGACCCTTTAACTTGTTTATTTTCCAATTTTGCAGAGCTGGAAAATGCAAAGGTAGAGATAAACAGACTACAACAGGGTGAAGCCGCTGCAAACATGTCTGTTGCAGAGTTTGAAAACGCGAAGCAAGAGATCAGCAGATTGCAAACTGCAGCATGGAGTCAGCACGGAGCTTTTACTGCAGAGTTGGCAAGAACAAAAGAGGAGATTGTTAGGCTTGAATCTGAGCTGAGGGTTGCTCAGGCATCAAGCACAGAGCTAGCACACGCTAAGGAGATGAACAGTTTATTACTCGCAGAAATGGAGGCCTCTGCAACAGAGCTTGCGAAAACCAAAGACGAGTTTCGTAACCTGCGAGGCCAGTACGAAGTTTCAATAGCAGAGGTTAACCAACTGAAGTCCCAGCAAAACAGCGCAATCGCTGAGCTAACCGGTTCGAAAGAGGAAATCAGCAAGTTGCAAGCTGAATTAACGCAGGCCCGGGGCATGTCTTCGACGGAACTGATGACCAATAGAGAGCTACTTGAGAAGTTACGTACAGAACTAGAAGCTGTGCGGGGGCAGCATGGGAATTCCTCTATGGAGCTTGTAAGCGCTAAGCAAGAAATCGTGAACCTTCAAGGACAACTACAAACATCGTCTGCTCATCTTGGAGGTTACGCATCCCAGCTCGAAACTGCCAGAGAAGAAATAGTTAGGTTGCAAAATGAAGTATCATCTCTTCAGCAGCTGCTTGGAAGCACTAACGCGGAACTTACCGTGGCGAGGGAACAACTCACCAAGCTGCAGCTGTCCCAGGAGCCTCGAGAAGTCTCTAGTTTAGAACCTCTGGGTGCAGAGCCTGAGTTGGCAGGAACCAGCGGACAGATTGAAAAGTTACTATCTGAGCATAGTATTGCAATGACTGAGCTTGCAAAAGAAAGAGAAGAGAAAAGTAGACTGCGAGATGAATTGATTGCTGCTTCTAGGGAGATCCAAAATCTGAGGGAAGAGATTGGTAGACTGCAGGCTGACCTAATGGTCTATCAATTTGAAGGTCCTTCGTCTGAGCTCTTGATTACAAGGGAGGAGGTAGAGAGGCTGAGGGTGCAAGTTCAGCAATTATCGGATTCACATACAAAATTGGCAGATAGAGAGGTAAGTCCTATTTACTGTGTAGATTAACATTTGTTGACCAATCCTGATGTCTTGTAGTCACCAAGCTGGAAAAGTCCTTGCCTTTAAGGACATCGGTCAGATTTGGGGTTGACACCTTCGAATTGGATCTTGCAGGCAGACAATGTGGAACTTGTTCCTGCAACACTGTTGGATGAACTTACCATGGAATTGATAACGACAAACGAGCACCTAGAAAAAGCTACGACAGCCCGGATGAACGCTGAGAAGGAATTGGTAGCTCTCAGGGAAGAGGCTGAGCAGGCTAGTGGCTTGAGAGCTGACTTAGAGAGACATCGGGCCGAGCTGAAAGTAGCAACATTAGCAGAGAGCAAATTAGCCCATGTGATGACAGAGGTTGAGGAGCTTAGAACGCAGGTAGCATTGATGCAGGAGAATGCAGAGAAGGCCTCAAAGATTGCTGCTGACGCCAATGAGGAATTGCTCTCTCTGAAGACAGCCCTTGAATTGGTCGAAGAATCTAAACAGGACCTTAGCAAGCTTGTTGAAGGTCTAAGCTCGGAGGTTGATTCTCTCAAAGCAGAGATAGTCGTTTTGGAGGAATCCGAAGGGAAAATGGAATCGTCCTATGTTGCAACTAAAGCCGAGCTGGAGAAAGTGGTTGCTGAGCTGGGAAGTGTAAAAAGAGCCGAAGAGATGGCGAGTGGAATGGCCGCCTCAACAGGTGATGAGTTGGATGCTCTGAAAGAAGAGCTTCGTGTCACCAAAGAAGGTGAAGCTCGAGCTAAGGCTGCATTTACAGAATACAGTCTCAGACTGCAAAGAATGAGGGCAGAACTTGAAGATGCTACGAAACTCGCCGAGAAGGTACCGTCAGTTCAGAATTTGTCTTCATTGTCATAGTTGACACATGATTCTCTGCTGATTAGTTTGGTGATGAGGAATTAACATAGATTGCCATTTGGCCGCGGAATTATCTTAACACCTATTGAGAGGTTCCCTTTGCAGGCAAAGGCTTTCAAACTGGACTTAGACGAAGCCAATGCAAAGCTGAAAAAGGTGACGGAGTCAGAAAGATCTATGTCAGCTTCCTTGGCTTCTTTGCGCGCTGAAGTTCAAAACGCGCGTGCAGAGATTGTGCTTGCTAGAGAGGAAGGAGAAGCTGCACTCGCTGAGAAAGAATCAGATATTGAAATGGAAATGACTCAGATGAGATCTGAATGGGAGGCGGCCGTAGCAGAAGAGAGAAGGCTCAGAGAAGAACACGCCAGAGTAACTGATGCTTTGACTAAGGTTAGCGTAAATGTGTTAGGTCTGTCTTAAGCAAGTAGGAACTGTGTGCACATGTGTTGCACTTTATAATTGGAATATGCTAATCTTGGATATTATTTGTGTGGAAATAGTACTTCGCGTTTTGATTGATCTCATTGTTGCTTGTTGCATTTTGAAACAGGCGACAGATGAGAAAGAGGCAGCAACCACGAAGCTAAACTCGGTAACAGAGGAAGCAGCAACTGCAAAACAGGAATTAGAACAAACAAGAGCTAGAATTGAGACCCTAGAAACCAAACTCCAGGCAGCCCTTCTGGAAGTTGAAGTTGTGAAAGCAAGCGAAGAGAGTGCGCTTTCACAGGTCAGCCGAGTGCTTTTATGCTATCGCTTCTTGACGTTTTCTGCAGTTATTCATGAGTATTCACATGGAGGTTAAGGTTACCATCCCGGATATTGGACTGTCCACGCAGCCTTCTTAATGAGTTTCTGAGATTTTCAACGAGCAAGAAATTGCGATGAGATGTCCCAAATGCATGTAATTCCTTAGTAGTGCCGCTTCATGGGAGTTGACTCTTACTGAAATATTTCCATTGAATCTACAAGCGGCATCATTATCGTTTAGTGATTTGTGGAGTGTTCTCGTAGAAAATTTACGGTAGGGGATCTGGTAAGCAGTTTTTCTATGTACAAATTTTACATATTTTGAATCTAAAAATCGTAGAAATCTTACTGGATATTTTGTTGCGTATTTCAGATGAATATCAGGTCTCAAAATCCTGATGCCGAGACAGTGGTCATGGACACCGAGTCCAAGGCAGATGTCACAATATCTCACGAGGAGTATCAATCTTTGAAAAGCAAGGCACAGGACGTTGAAGAGCTGGCGAAAAAACGGGTTGCCTTGGCAATGGCCCAGGTGCCGCCTTATCTCTTGCATTTAGTAGTGAAATTTGAGTGAAACTTACAAGTAGCTGTCTTATGACTTGTAACAACTGCGAGCGTGGTGAAGTCCATGTACTTGATCATACCAACTGTTCTGATGCTCTTTGTAGTTGTGAAACATACGAGTTGTGTTCTGATAATTTGTGGTTCTATGTATCAACTTTTGTTTGTAAAAGTACACGTACTTGCATAACCTTCATAGCTATGTGCTATTCATAAGTGTTCGATACTGACTCGTGCATCCTGATAAGAATACAGTTCAGTAGAAGACTAAGCTCGTTTGCACTTGATGTCAGTAGTGATGTTAGGATGTCTTTTATTTTGTTTTTAGTACTTCACTCTTCTTGGTAAGACTTGGAATTTCAGGCTTATGAAGTGTATCTGTGAATGTACGGTATGTAGGTCGAGGCTGCCAAAGCAAGTGAGAAAGAGATGCAGAGCAAGTTGGAGATATCGAGGAAAGACATTGACGCTATCCGTGTCGAGTTGAGAGAAGCGACGAGAAAACGTGAAGAAGCTGAAGCAGCGAAGTTCGCCGTAGAAGGAATGCTTCGTACTCAAAGGGGACATGGCAGACACCCAGTGTTTAACGGTGGCCCTCCAATGGGAAGTCCCAGTAATGGAATGGATCGGCAGGGTTTTATGGTCAGCCCAGCTTCGGGGAATTCACAGAATAGCAGCCCATTACATCCCACGGTCACATTCTCATTTCCTACTCCTGCAAGCCCCAACCCTCCGGAGAAGCACCCCTCCGAGTCGCTTGCGGATGTTCTCGCAATAAAAATGCCATCAGAGGAGAAGAAGAGCAAGGCTAGGTTCTCATCTAAAATCGGGTCATACTTCGTCAAGAAGAAAGACTCGGGGTCTAAAAAAAGTCAAGCCGATTAAGGGAGAGGTGCGTTCCGCACGATCATGAAATTCTTACCCAAGTTTGCAATGGGCTTTATCAGCAACGTCGTAACCAGCCACCCCACTTGCATAGCTATCCCAGGCCCGATGACGACTTCTCGCTGAAGGGGACCTCGAATTAACAATCTAACGTTCTGGTGGGGTGCCTGAGGAGAAGCGCCAAGTCTGTCACCAATCTTTCTTCAAGCTTTTGATGTGTTTTGGACACAAATCAAACAGCTGTAAAATAACTGGCCCCGCCTTCAAGGTTCCAACAAATTTAGGAAGATCCGTAGTGTTTGTGAAAAGTCAGAATCTGATTTTATGTAGCTGCTTTTCGTGGAATTTATTTGTGCAGATCCTAGTCTCTGGTTTAGAGTTGAGTGCTAACAGATCTCTAGGTAGATATCAGTGCTGCATGAAAGGTCGAACTTCTAGCGACTTGAGTGATTCTAGCTTTACTGTTGGCTACCTGTCTGAAGGCTGCAATGTATCATCGATTTTTTGATGTCTCACGTAGTTTTCAGGATGATATCTCTGTATTAATGAAATGTTTTTTAAGGTTTTGTGACGTGAACTTTCACTTTTTTCTTCCGTTTTGACTGTGAATCGCTTCTTTATTTTCTGCATGGACAATTAAATGAGAGGTGCATAAAAATTTCTGTCGATGCTTTTAGTTCATTATATCATTCAGCTTTAACTGCTGAATAGGAACTTCAGTTACGTCGTTTAAGCCACTTGTATGTGTGCTCTCTGCTGTGACTCTTCAGTAGCTGAATACATCTTGGTATTGAACGCCCTAGCAGTATGAATTCGACGGGTGAGTGAGCTTTTGCAATATGATGTGAAGGAGGACTATGTTTTTAATATTTTGGATTGGCTCTGAAGAAATCAATTTGTCTGGGATATCTATGTTGGTTTGGAAAACAACTGCATATATATTCAGCTAGCATCAAAGAGAGGGGACAGTCTGGGGAATAATTTTATGGGTAATACATATGGTTCAATCCTTCTCCAACGGATTGGATTTTTTTATTGATGCCTTCTCAGAGATTCTACAATTTTTCAAGTTCTTTGAACATTGAGGATCCCAATGTGATCAATGCATGGAATATGGAACGTGGATGTTGCATTAAGCATCTCTGGCACTAGTTGCTTCAACAAAAGATACGGATTTTGTTTTTTTAAAAACATTTTTTTTTTTTTTTTTTTTTTTTTTTTTTTGAAAAGTGAGTTATGTTGTTTGAAGACAAATTTACAAGGTTTACTTTGTATTCTTTGTGCACACTCTTATTTATTTACTTATTTATTTATTATTTATTTATTACGTTTATTGTTTTTGATTGAGATTGGCAATTTCAAGAAGAATCCTATGAGGAAACTGTGGTATAGAGAAGAAAGGGCAATGATCATAACAGTGAAACCTGCTAAACACATGCAATTAACAGAAAAGTAAAGCTCAGTATAATTAAATGATTTTCTTGTTTGTTTAAGCAACTATTAGTGCAAACAAGATGTATAGCATCACTAGGGCATACAGACAGGCAAGACACTAGTCTTAATAAATGTAAAAACTGATTTGCAAGCACATAGATGAAGTTTAGTTGTTTGTGAAAATTGTGGCAATATAAATGATCTGCTCAAGATTAGCAGTAAAGCATTTAAAAAGAATTTGTACCTCATCAGCTATAAATTGAGTAAAATAGGCCCAATTACCACTACCTTGGTCATCTTCATTTTCTGCTCTAGCACACATTTTCTTCCTCTCCAACCCCTTTTTCGTTGAATTCATCAAAGTAGTAACAGGGTTGGTATGAGGGCTGGTAACAATGAAGGGGGCAGAGTAGGGATTGGGAATGAGGGAGTTGAGATGAGGGTTAACATGAAAAACAAGGAAATCTAGTATGAAAATTATGATTCTAATGATGGTTTTTGGAGATGATCTATTTTTATAATGATGGACACAATAAGATGGGTCAATTTAACATTCTTCTAAGAATATATCTATCTATCTATCTATCTATCTATATATATATATATATATATATATATATATAACTTATTTAAAGAGTGATTTGATATTTTTTTAGGTTGATTGGAATATCTTCAATTTATTTGATATATTTTGTAAAATAATTGAATATATAAATTATTATTAATATATTATTCAAAAATATACACAACTACTTTAGAAAGCTTTTCGTCACAATTTGAAAGAAAACAAATCTATCTACAATACACTCTTCCAAAATTTTAATACATAAATACACAATAAAAAATCTATAACATTGAACAACATATTGTTGGTTATGACTTTCAATCCAATAAATCAATTTCAAATCCAACATCTTCATGTATCACTAATCATACACAATTTAAAATGATTTTCATAAAACACACTCTAAATAACAAAATCATGTTTCTCAATTCTTTTAATGTTTTTTTTAAAACAAAAAACTTGAAAATTTACTCAAAATATCCTAATACCAAGTTTAATAAATATCCCAAATAAATCTGATATATGCAATTACAAGTGATCCTTACACAATAAACATTATCATAACCTATGTCTAATATACGATGTATAATACCCACACGCCAGAACTACAATCCTACGACTAAGCTAGGAATCATCGTCTACAGTACATATCTGCTCCATAACGACGAATCTAAGCATGAGGTACGAATTTTAAAAACTACGCCTCAGCGACGACAAATCTCTGATCAAGCTGAAATCCACGCGAGTGGTAAGAATGAGAAGTCTAGGAAATGGTAAGAAACCTAGAGTTGGGTGAGAGCCGTGGAAGAGAGCGCGGGCCGGGTGGAAGGGCGTGGGGGTTATCGCCTCAAAAGATCTGCCCATGCGTCGCTTTTGATAGCCCTAATCAGGGAGGAAGATTCCCCGTGCTGCCCATACTGCCCGTCCGCCTTATAAGCGCAGATAAGCGTGACATTCCGAAAGTATCCACGGCCTTGTCTCATGCGCGTCCCCTCAGTCCCCGCCGGCACTCACTCCTCCCCTCTGTTTCATTTCAGCGCCTTTCCTCTTCACCGAATCACTCCGCATTGCACCTGCGTCTAGTGGATCTTCACTGCCTGTGCTTTGTGTGAGTAGCGATCGATGTACAAAATTCAGCTGCGCTGAGTGTGAAGTTTTTTTTCCTTTTGCTTTGCGTTGTTAGTTTTGCTGTGTTGATGTGTTTTGCATATCGTGCGGTTTGTGGAGCTTTGTCGACGTGGTGGCGAGTGAGGGTGTTTGATCAATTGGAGGTGTTTGTGGCGGTAGATTTTCGGAATTGAACCATGGCTACGGCTATGATGGGTACTGCGAAGGCGGCTGCTGTTGTTGCCCATGGGGCTGTATTGGAGAGGGTCCGGAAGTCCTCTGGTTCCGCGCAGCTGCTGGCTTCGTCGAAGTCGAGCTTAAGGAAGGGGACGACGAGCGAGGTGATGCACCAGGGTTCCTGCGTCGAACGCAGCTCTCGAAATGTCTCAATGAAGGTTACCATGACGGCCATCCTCCCTCGACCTTCGTCTTCTGCTAGTGGAGTTGGCCGTACGCGCCCCACCAGCGACCCTGCCGCTCCTGATTTTAAGCCGATTCCTGCTTTCGAAGAATGCTTCCCCAACAGCACCAAGGAGACCATGCACGTCCCTGTCCCCTCAGTCATGCAAAATTTCGTTAAATTTAGCCGCAGATGTAAGTGTCATTTATAGGAATCTTACCGTGTTTCATTCGGAACTCGCGTGTAGTAGTTTGTTTCTTTCTGCTGACCTGGTGTCTTTCATGTTTGCAGAGAAGTGGTGCACAGCACTACAGGGTCTGTGCTCCAGGTGCCATTCCGCAGAATTCACTTGTCTGGAGACGACCCACATTTCGACACCTACGACACGAGTGGACCTCAGAACGTCAATCCTCGTGACGGTTAGTTCTTACGTAGTTGTGCTACGTGTTTCCTGAAGAATTCGTGTTGAGAGTATAACGTTCTTGTGTCAGGTCAAGCCCGAAAAGGTTGAGTCTTCACTCGTCTTCTTAATCTGTGAAATGTTTGTCTAAGACTTTCTATGTGATATCGAGTACAATTGTGTAGGTCTTCCGAAGATTCGGAAGGAGTGGATCGCGAGGAGGGAAGCGCGCAAAGATGAAAGGTTCACACAAATGTACTACGCGAAGAAGGGAATTATCACGGAGGAGATGGTGTTCTGCGCAGCGCGTGAGAAGATGGACCCCGAGTATGTGAGGACTGAAGTAGCTCGTGGGCGCGCCATCATCCCCTCCAACAAGAAGCATCTCGAGCTGGAGCCAATGATCGTTGGGCGTAAGTTTCTCGTGAAGGTGAATGCCAATATTGGTAATTCCGCTGTGACGAGTTCAATCGAAGAGGAGGTGCAGAAGCTTCAATGGGCCACAATGTGGGGCGCCGACACCATCATGGACCTCTCCACAGGTCTTCACATTCACGAAACTCGTGAATGGATCATGCGAAACTCGTCAGTGCCTGTGGGAACTGTACCAATCTACCAAGCGCTGGAGAAAGTGAACGGAATTGCCGAAGATTTGACGTGGGAGGTGTTCAGGGAGACTCTTATCGAGCAGGCCGAGCAAGGGGTGGATTACTTCACCATCCATGCTGGTGTTTTGCTGAGGTTCATCCCCATGACAGCCCGGCGTATGACGGGCATTGTCTCAAGGGGTGGCTCCATTCACGCCAAGTGGTGCCTGGCGCACCACAAGGAGAATTTCGCTTACACCCATTGGGATGATATATTGGACATCTGCAACCAGTATGATATCGCGCTCTCTATTGGAGATGGCCTCCGGCCTGGTTCCATTTACGATGCAAACGACATGGCGCAGTTTTCAGAGCTCGCTACTCAAGGTACTAGTTCAAATCTCCTGATAATATCGTTCGTTTTCTAACAATGATGATGGTAGAGGTGATGTGTACGAGGGTGTCCCTTGGATAGATCTGCGTCGATCGAAAAACTGGGCTATTCATGTCTTCGGTCTTTGGTATTGTGTCTGAAGGTGAGCTTACACGGCGAGCGTGGGAGAAGGACGTTCAGGTGATGAATGAAGGACCTGGCCACATTCCACTCCACAAAATCCCAGAGAATATGGAGAAGCAGCTGGATTGGTGTAACGAAGCTCCTTTCTACACTCTTGGCCCTCTCACAACAGATATCGCTCCTGGATATGACCACATCACATCTGCAATCGGCGCAGCAAACATTGGAGCTTTGGGAACTGCTTTGCTCTGCTACGTGACGCCGAAAGAACATCTCGGACTCCCAAACCGTGATGATGTCAAAACCGGTGTAATTGCGTACAAGATTGCTGCGCACGCCGCAGATCTCGCGAAGAGACATCCTCTTGCGCAGGTTCAGCATGATTACTCAAATTCTTTTATGATTTTGGGCATTCCATTATCGACTTGGAATTTGGAGCTGAGGAGCATTGAATGATGACAATGTGATGAGTTCTGTGGATGATGTGATTGGATTGGAGACTAATTCTGGGGATGTGTTGTAGAATTGGGACGACGCTCTCAGCAAGGCTCGATTTGAGTTCCGCTGGAGGGATCAATTTGCATTATCTCTGGACCCCGTGACTGCACTCTCATTCCACGACGAGACTCTTCCAGCTGAGGGTGCGAAAGTGGCGCATTTTTGCTCCATGTGCGGCCCCAAGTTTTGTTCTATGAGCATCACCGAGGACGTGCGCAAGTATGCCGAAGAGCATGGATATGGTGATGAAGCTGAAGCTGCGATGAAGGATGGCATGGAAAAAATGAGTCAAGAATTCTTAGCTGCTAAGAAGACCATCAGTGGAGAACAGTGGGGTGAAAGCGGGGGTGAAATCTACTTGCCCGAGAGCTACGTTGCGTCAAAAATCTCATCAACCACACCATTATCATAAATGGCACCGTCCAGTATTTGGAAGGTACAAATTCGCATCTTCGAAGCGTAAACCGTAATGTCGAAGTGATCAATCTACATCACCCTGCTGACTAAACTGTCATGCTGGCTTTGCTCTAAAGATTATGTCTCGGCATTATGGTGTGCAGGTGACCAGTGGCCAGAACTGGAGGGAGATACACCGAGATAAACCTTAATGTCTTAAAGGGGTTTGAGCTACAGTTGCTCTGGCTTGTGGACTGAACCAACCAACATCAGATAATTGTGAATATTTTGTGGCGTTTTTAGCTATATGTGTAGTTTTTTGTGTTTTCTAAAGAGGTACTTTTATTGGGATTCGAACTGATCGATTTTGGCACCAGGGGTGCTTGCATGATGAAGCAGCGCAATCTATTTGCGTCGATTATCAATGCAGGCTGAGAGAGTCCCTTCGCACCTGAACAGGTTAATACCTGCGTAGGGAGCGTGCCAAATCCTTCGTTGTTTGTTGTTTGCACAGGACAGTTTCTCTGAATCAATCGTCTGCTTTGGTGGCTGTCAACATTGTGACTGTGACAAAGCTCTTTTGCAAGCTCTGCGCCCATTGCTAAAACAAAGCCCTTTGCTATGTCATGATCATCAAGATAGACCCCCTCGCCTTCAACCGGAAAACCGTGGGTGTTGGCTTACTTGTGCCTTTCACGAGTGCTTGTTTCTGTGATTATGCTCCTTAGAAATGATATACGGCGCTTAGATACTATAGTTTGTTGTCAAGGTCCCTTGTAGTACTTGCAGACTAGCAACGACGATGCATGTGTTACCTCGATCGATGAGTGAACTGCTAGGAGGTGTCGAGCTAAGCATATTTCTTTAGTCTGTTGTTTAGCATCAAACATTGTAATACAGGAACAAGTTAATGTTTACAGTTACCATTTTGTTTCTAATTGCAGATACATGATGTGATCGGTAAAACTAGTCCTGCATATCCTGCATGTAGTGCATGATCTTTGAAGGCCGATGTGATAGTATCATTTTAGTATGTGAACTAGTTAACCTCTCTAACTTATACTACAGAAGTATCTCAGAATAAAGGAGAGTGTCTAACCAAACAGACGTGTTACATTGAAATGCCAGTTATGTTGCGCATGCAGATTACAGTAGTAAGCCTCTGTGTCTACACAGTGAATAGGCTGTGAATACAATGGCATACATGATACACGATACACCCAACTGTTGATGTGAGTTGTCCTTCACAATACCCCCCCCCAAGTTTTCAGTAAAGCATCGAAAAAAGTTCCACATAATTACATACTCTCATCAAACACTGTGATTAGTTTTGCGGATAATTATCTGTAATAGCCAATTATCAATCCACAATTGTAGCAACTTGTCAAAGCATGTAACTCAATCAAAACAACATTTTTACATACCAACAGGGACCGTGAAGAATGAGCTAGTTGTCAATAGATTCATGAAAAGACCCATGTTGATGAAACACATCGAGATTGTAAACACTTGCTGTGGGCTGCCACAACTGTTTCGATGTCGGTGAGCCACACTCGCTACCTGGAACAAGTGTCGGTGAAGTAGGCCATCAGCCTCTTGTGCACACTGGGCTCAATGCTTCGCACAGATGCTTCCAGCTTCAAGACCCAACAGCCTGTTCCGAATCGGCTCATGTAGAAGAAAGCTGTGACTATGGGAAATGAGCACAATGAACAGTCCAAAGCTGAAGATCTGTTCCAAGGGAATTCACAACCTAGACATACGTCGAGTCCCACATGGAATTCTAGGTTGAATTCGAGACTTGAGCTCAGACTCATGACTTGTTTCGGCCAATATAAAGTAAACATTTAACCCCACATGTGTTTACACAACCGTGTGTCTAGACGAACTTCCGGGCTTTTTTCACGGGGTTCTGACACACTACTACAACTTTTTCAGTTTGTAGGAGAGGGCGTTCATGTGCATGCAAATTCCTGTTTTATCACCACTCCACATGCATCTTGTAATTCGATCTTTAAGAACAGAATCAGAATGTGTTCTAACAGCCTGATCGTCACGGCACCCTGCACTTATTCGGATTCAGGTAAGGTGTGTGTAACTGTCGAGAACAGTGACAGAACCAGTCGATGTAATTTCTTAGGACAGTTCCCGGCTTCCGTAATGAACCAGAAGTTAGAAACGCGTTCACCGGCCGATTCAACATGTTGACAATGCAGGCAGAAAACCGAAGTCAAAACGGATTACAGTGGTAAGGTCCTAAACTGCATAATTGCAAAAAATATATAAATAAAACAAAACAACAACAATAAAAACAACAACAACACAGCATTCTCATGGTATGTTGAGCTCATAGAGCTCCGATCTCCAATGACATCAAGCTCACCAAATGCTTGAGTCATCCAGGCTTTTCTAAGCTGAAGTTGTTGCTCAGAATAGCCGTTTTCTCAAACTGGGACCCAACTTTAACAGCTCTGGGGCACCTCAACACAATTGAAAATGCAAGAAATACGAGTCGAAAGAACAGAAATTAAGCACAATGAGTTGAAGAATGTGGGTCACTATTCAATTCAACGTTCTAACGAGTGATGAGTGTGCTTTTTATTGCATCTCATGAAGAGTGACTGATGTGTTAGTAAAATTGTTCTGAAGATTTGATGGCAAGTTCAAGTTGTGGTCGTGTGTGCTGAAATGGGTCTTAGTAGAATAGGTCTATGCTTCTGAAAGAACTGTGTTTGGGTTGAGTGCAACACAAACTAATGATATTCCTTTAATAGCTTCTTATTTAACGTCTACTTCTGACAGTGGTACATTTATTTCTTTTTCTTTTTCCTTTTCTTCAAGGTTTGTTTTCGTAATGTTTATTTTATACCAATAATTGTTTATTGATCATATTTTATGAGTTGTGTGATTAATTTTTAAAATGATCATAAGTTTCAATTAATTCTTTAAATTAAAATTGTACATTATATGCACGAATCTTCAACAGCTTTGAAAGTGAATTGACGAAAAGAAAACATCACTATTTCTGCTTCGAACAAGTTTTGCAAGCAGCTTTTACAATGTTGTGATTTCGAAGAATTTCTGTGGTTTCGAAATAAAATATAAAAACGCAAGTAAAATTCACTATTTTGATCGTGTAGAGTTGTATTGTATTCTATTTTTTAAAACATAACCATTTAATAAGCTTTACAGTTTGATTTATCAATTCAAAATGATTGAAATTTTATCAATACATGATTTGGTTGTTTCTCCAAGACTGTAGTTTTCCAACCAATTCAAATCAACTCCATCATTATAGTGTTCCTATTTGTTTTTCAAATCATTGAATCATTGAAACAAAACAAAATTACAAATACAATACTTATTTGTGTATGTGAATACACATGAATAACTTGCTTTAACATATTACTTCCAAAGCAAATCAAGAATTCTTAATGCCACTATATTTTATTATAATGAATTTGACAATCTTATATTTTATAATTTGAAAATATGATAAAATTTGAAATTGAAAATAAAAATTTAATTAGACTTTTGAAATTGAAAATCTTGTCATAAATATTTTATACACTATTTACTTATTTTACACTTCAAAGGATTTTCAATTTACTTTTCAATCTAAGCAAGAGCTTTATCAAAAAATAATAATAGTACCAAATAAATAATCACAAAAATAAATATTTTTTGTTAATAAAACTTTAAACCAATTTTTATATTAAAGTTGCAATTTATTATTGTACATCAAAAAAATAAGGTGGATATATAAATGCATATATATATATATATATATATATATATACATATAATGATATTAAAATGATATTTTCTTTACATTTTGTTATTTATTTATTTATTTTATTAAGTGATTCATGATATTTATAAAAAAATCTCACAATTTTAGGTATGAATGTTCTAATAAGATTTTCTAACATAAGAAAATGCTAATTGTTTGGTAAACACAACTATTGCTAAAATATGATCAAGAAGCATATTAATGGCGGTGGTGGCGGATTGGGAATGAGAAGCCATCTGCATTTGCATTTATTGTAGTCTAAATGGTTGTCAAGGACATAAATTGGAAGAAGATGCATAAACTTGTGGAATTTGTATCTAAAAGAAATTGACAAAATAGAAGAAAGTGTATATGTTCAAGGAAGAATTGGAATGGCTATTGTCAAAGATTAGAAAACATAAGATTCTTGAAACTAGACTAAAAGTAAGAAAGGAATTGACAAGATTGAAGAAGGCCTCACTCTTGCCTCTATATTTACTACTCAACTAAGAAATATGTGGTGACATGCTATAAGACCTCTAATACGCACCCAACTTGCAGAATACATATCTAATTTGCAAGGCAAGTTTCCTAGGTATATGCCATATGTCCAACTTGTACTACAAGTGGTCAACATGTCGACATGTGGCCTCTTTGTTGGCCAAGTTTTCAACCTACCAATCACATATAGATATATATAAAGACAAAGTAGCATCTATGAAGCTTCTAGGAAGCTGTTGTCACGGCCATAATCATGTAAGCTAATAATTACATATAGAAATAGGTAGAAGTAAGTAAAAGTAGATAAAAGTAAGTTAATTCTATAATATTTAATATAGAAGCTTCCTAGAAACTTCCTAGACGGTGCTTTGACTTCATAGGTATCTTTAATTGACTTTTTGGATTAGAAACGTGGTCAACAAGTTGGCCATGTGCCACACATGTTGTTAGCTTGAAGATCAAGCTAATTATGTGGCCCACACGTAGAAAAACTTGCCTTGTAAGTCAAGGCATGTGTCCTATAAAGTCAACACATATTGGAGGTCCTATAGAACGTCGCCACGTAGCCCCTAGTTAGATAGTATATATAGAGACAAGAGTGAAGGCTTCTTCACTCTTGTCAACTCCTTTCTTGTTTCCAGTCTAGTTTCAAGGGTCTCTAGTTTTCTTGTCTTTTGGCAATAGCCATTCGAGTTTCCATTTAATATACATACTTATTTATATTTTGACTTATTATATCTAGATAGCCTTTTTGTGTATATTTTCTCTCATGGAGTCTTTGTCCTTGACAGATTGACAAGAGTGCACTTACAATATCAAAGCTTTGTTTTTCTTGAGTAAGAGTGGATTACCCCTTTCTCTTGACAAGACATAAGCGTATTAGAAGTTTGCGGATTACCCACTTCTAAACTGATATTGTTCTTAGTATCTTCTTTGTTATCAAGTCTTTCTATTCTTTTGTCTTGAGCAGTATCAAAAAAAATTTTCTTCTTAGTGTCATTATGGCAGAGCTTGTTGAAATGAAGAGTGCAATGGTACAAATGCAAGAGCAAATGAGGGAGTTAATGCTTGCGATGCATCAACTCAATTCACCAACACATGAAAGAACAAGAATAGCAGAAAGTGGGGATATAGAGATGATCGGAGCTGCTTCAACGTCTACAACAAATCACGTTCCTTCTCCAATTGTACAACACCCTGTAAGCACTAGAGAACCAAGAATTGCCTTACCCGAGAAATTTGATGGTATGAGATCAAAGTTTCGAGGGTTCATCAATCAAGTACAATTGGCAATTGAACTTCAACCGCAAAGCTATCCAACTCCAAGATCACAAGTCAGGTTTATTGGCACTCTACTTTCTGGTTCTGCATTATCATGGTTTTCGTCTTTTCTTGAACAACGAAATCTAATATTGGACAATTTGGAAGCTTTTTTGGCGGAGTTTCGATCTATGTATGGTGAACACGATGCAACTCGTGTTACAACAAATAAGATCCGAATTCTGCGACAAAGAAATCACTCAGTAACAGTGTATGCTTCACAATTTTGACAACTTGCAATTGACATCAAGTGGGATGATGCTGCACTCATTAGTCAATTTCTTTATGGATTGCAATACGAAGTAAAGAAATTGATGCTCAACTTACCTGATCCTCAAATTTTGAGTCAA